TTAATAAATTCCTGAAACAATGTTATAAAATTAGAAAATACGCAATACGACGTAGGATATCTCCAAATCAAATAAAACTCAGCTAAAATGAGACAAATCAACGCCATTTACCAACACACTACACAGAACCTTGACAAGAAATAATTAAAAAAATGGGGGGAAACAAGCACAGTAGCAAGGATCACGGCTCACACTTGTCTTCTTGTTCCACTCGAGTCAAACTCAACTCGGGACGGAATAGCTGGTAGGTGGGAGGATGCTTGACCCCAAAGTTTTTTGGGCTCAATTTTTGTTTGGTCCCTTGTAGCTCTAAAATCAGGCAAAATAGTCATTGATTCTATTTTCCAGATTAAATACCCTTAATTCCCCTTGTATATAATCTCATATGACAATGTCTAATTCAATGATAACATCGATCATGATAGATTTTGTTACTATCTCTGTGCCTGTGTTCTATGTAACTTAACAAATCCAGAACTATACGAATCTATTTCATAAATTCCTATTAATTAACATGTGTCCCTCATCTCATCTGTAACCTCACGAACATAACTTGCAAACACTCACTAACGACCACGTGTGCTGTAACACCCCCAACTCGTATCCGACTTGGATCCGAGTCCAAAGTGTCACATTCACTTTTCAAAACTTGTCTTTTATAAAAATCATGAGAATCTAAACTTTCATTAAATAAAACTCGTTATTTTATATAAATAAAACCGTTTGGTTTCACAAACCTATCAGATCATATCTATTTTCTGATCTGAACTTTATAAGGGAGATGATGACCTGTCTTGCTCCTCTCAGCTTCTCTTCTCGCTTTCCAGAACCTACGTGTGAAACACTCACACGCTAAGTCGATGACTTAGTGAGGCATAAAACATATAATAGAAACTCTAACTCAAAATCATGCATGAACATTTCTACTATGCACTCTTCATGTAATCATGTTAAGTTATGAACACATTATGCATTAAACATAAATACACACCTATAAATATCATCTTATTATCCTTATTATTATTCGTATCATTATTAACCTTAATATCATTCATGTCTCTTAATCATACAATCTGATACCTAACATTCCAATCCAATCCAAACCATATGCACATCATCATATAATTCCTGTAATATATTGCATATCACAAAAACATATATACATTACATATAATATATTTTGATGTCATCTCTTTGTTAGCTCATGTACACATGTGAGAACTATAGATATGCGAGTACATAGAGGTTGTGTAGATATGTTGTCACCACAGCTCGTATAAATCCCACTGAGTGGCATGTGAAATATGTCTCGAAGGACCTATGCATATGTCCAAAGGGATCATTATCCATATGTTCCGAGGAACATAGGTAACTATTTATATGTCCTGAAGGACATAGGTAACCCTCGACTTTTGGTATGCCAACTATATCTCTAGCTCTCATGACACATAACATGGGCATTATCTTTTATCTTTTCATATATTCATGTAAACATATCACATATTCATATAAGCTAGTAGCTTCGTTCACATATGCATGTAATCACATAGTTCATGTCAATTCTCATATGATTTCATATTCATATGTTACATGGCTTATAACACTTCTCATGTGTTCCTATAAACATGTCATGTCATATGACTTATATCTTTTCATATAGTTTATGTTTTAATCTCTTATATTCACATAATTCAATATCGTTGAACTTAGTTCACTTTCTCATATCATCATACCTGCATATAATCTTAGATGTCCTATCAATACCATATAAGCTCACACATGTAGTCATATATATTCTTTCATAAAATCCATATAGTAATGTCATATACTTATATCACATAATAATTCAACCTGACTATATCTTATATCCATTTCCCTGCTCAAATCATATAACACATATAACCTTCTCATAGGATTTTTATAGTTCTTCATTCTATGGATCTAATATCATAATTTCCTTTAAGTATATACAACCTTCCTTCAAGGCTTATCCTATAATTTCGTATTATCATCTACATTCATGTCCCCTAATTTATATACTATTCTCATATTATAACACCCCCAACTCGTACCCGACCTGACCCGGATCCGAGTCTGAGGTGTCACATTGACTTTTCAAACTTTGACTCTTGACAAAATTCAAGAAAATTTAAAACTTTCATTAAAGTAAAAGTGGTTTATTTACATAAATTGACCACAAAAACCAAAATCGATCAGAGCATATTTAACTCAATCAATTAGTACATGCCAACTATATTCAAAATAACCAAAACCATTTAAATCATCTATTTTCTGATCTGAAATTTTGTAAGGAAGATGCTGACCTGTCTTACTCTTCTTCGCTTCTCTTCTAGCTTCTGTAACCTACGTGTGAAACAATCCCACGCTAAGTCTATGACTTAGTGAGGCATAAAAACTTATAATGCACTTTATAACATATATCAATACATGCATGTTCTATTCTATAATGCTATACCAAATTACATGATTTCCTCATATCATGTAAAATCATATCAGATTAATTAACAATAAATACATACATACACATAAATCATCATTAGCAGTTTATCATGTAATCACATACTTTTATGCTTAACCTTTTCAATCAAATACTATACACACACAACATATCATTTGTATAACATTTATCATATCACTAACATATATTTGTTTATATCTCTTGATTAGCCCATGTACATATGTGAGAACTATAGATATGTGAGTCTATGGAGGTTGTGCACTAATATTGTCACCACAGCTCATATAAATGCACTGAAGTGCCACGTAGAATTGCACCGTAGTGCCGCGTAGAATTGCACCGTAGTGCCATATAATAATGTCCATAAGGACCACATATCATTCCTTAAGAATCATATACATATACTAGGGATCAAGTATGTGTCTCACAAGACTTCACACATGATCCAAAGAATATATATATATCCCGAAGAACCGCGTAGACCCTCGACTCTTGGCATGCCAACTATACCCCTAGCTCTCAGGACACACAACATGGGCATTGTCATTTATATCATTTCATATTCACACATGCATATTAATTATCTTTTATCACATGTCTGATATCTTATAATCATGTAATCACATAGCTCATGTCATTTCTTGTAAAATCACATATATCATGTAATACATATAACTTATACACTTTCTCATATGTTCACATGGTTCACATCACATGAATCATATCTTTTCATATAGTTTATGTTTTATTCTCTTATATTCCCATACATGTAATACATATAAGGCATGGTTACACAACTCCTTTCTATATAACTTGCATGTACCTATATTTTTTTTCATATACTCACATAGTCATATAGTATGATATTTCATATAACCTCATGAATCACCTCACATGGATACATACTCAAATACTCATAGTTACATATCACTTAAATTATTCATATTTACCTAATCCATGGTCATATAGCTTCTATCACCAAGTCACTTATCTAATCTCTTATTCTCATATGTTCATATTTATCATATAACACATAAGTTTTATTGCATATTTATATCTCATTCCTACATCACTAATTCATGATATAATTTACATCATATCATCTACCTTATTCTGTATTTCTTGGTATGCACTTGCATTACCTAACCTACATTATACTTATAAACCTGAATATATTACTTCTATTATTTCTTTTATATACAATTTAATCTATTTACTTAATTCAATTCCGTACAACTCCTATAATCATTTCATATCACTCCATAGCTTCTATAATACAACTAATGTATCATAATTTTATTTAAGCATATGAATCTCTCTCCTCTATCTTATTTTATATGCTCATAGTATCACTGAAGTTCAAGTCTCCTAGTTAATATATTATTTATGTAACCTTTGCTTACTTAGTTCATATCCTTTCTCATAAACTCACTTTTACCATATTCTCATATTATTACTTAAATTATCTCATAGCATGTATTCACGTAGTAATATTTCATTTATATATATGTATATATCAAAGATCTTATCACATAACTTATCTTTTATATTCATATAATTTATTATCATATCATATGGTTTATATCATCATAACATAGCACATATTCACATCAACCATATAATACATATATACAATAACATGTCAACACATATAAATCATACTTATATATACTTCTATTTATGAATTCATGCATTTTACTATGGAAAATAGACTTGTCGCAAGTCTTATTTCCATTTAACATCATATAATACTAATATGCACTCACCTGGCCTCACTAGTCCATTCTAATCTCTTATCTTCCCTTTTTATCGATCTTACTTGTCAATGATTCCGGAACTCGTTTAGGCTCTGAATCTACATAATTATACATTTTAAGGCAATTATTAGATACCTACACCTTGTAATTTGATACTAGCAACTTAAAAGAACTTATTAAACCAATATTTACAATTTTCCTTTAGGGGGAATCGGTTCCCTCCTGTGGGGGTATCGGTTCCCCCATGACATTCTGGAAATTTTTATTCGCTTGAAGGGGTATTGGTTCCCCTTGAATGTGTAATATCCTTAACCCGTATATGTCTCGATATATGAGTTAAAGATGTCACATCAAACTGAAAACATTTACTGAACTAAAATTTCCGTAAAAATTTGTTTCTTTGAAAATACTCTTGTTCTAACTTTAAAAAAATCTATTTTAAAGTATATTTCAAATTATAACTTATTTTTTTATTACAGGAAAATAAAATCATTATTTATTCAGTAATTTTATTAAACCATATCTTTTCGTAAAACCTTTTAAAAACATAATAATGTAATAAATTATTGTCATGCATAGTTACCAATAAAACTAAACTAAGTAAACTAAACTAAAATAATTATAGTTTACTATTACAATTTATTTAAAATAAATATGATAATTAGAAACTATTGACATAATTATACATGCCATTATAAGTCAAAAGAAACATCATAGATGTCTTACTGATACTGGTGATATGTATGTCTTTCCAAAAGATGCTTTGATAGCTCCTTACTGATCGTACTTATCCTTACTAGAACCTACGCATGAAAATCATCACGCGCTAAGTATAACTTAGTGAGGCAATAATACTAAAAGTGAGAATAATTAAATACAATATCAAAATATATAAAATCATTAAAATAAAATAGACTGAAATTCTTCAGAACATTCAAACCAGATATCTCATGTTGAACTTTATAATAAACCTGAAAATAATCATCTGATAATTTTCACAAGATCATAAATAATCAGATCAGACAGAATAATAAATTCATAATTCTTTGTAGTCAGACACTTTTCAGAACTTTCTTATTTCATTTTTATAGCATGTATCATTTATTTAATTCATTTCGTAGCTTGTATAATCCATTTTCATCTCATAGCATATATTTTTCATTTTTTCATTTCATAGCCCAATGTAAACCATTAAGACTATAAGGTATTCGAGTCAGACGAGCATACACATAAATAGCACCACCGTTACATCTGTAACGTCAGACGTGTTAAATCATCATCAATCGTAGCACCACCGTCACAAAGACGTCAGACGTGCTAAATCATCATCAATCATAGCACCACCGTCACAAAGACGTCAGACGTGCTAAATCATCATCAATAGTAGCACCATAGTCACAAAGACGTCAGACGTGCTAAATGCTCCACCTTTATACCCATGATTCTCAATGCATTTACAATGTGCACTTTCTTTAAATCATTTATCATTCACCTATCAGAATCTTTTTCAAATATCATCAAAATCAAGTATCATACATCATTCACTCATCAAAATCTTTTTAAACATTAACAAAAATCAAGTATAATACAATATAAATCTCAATAGACATACAATTAAATTTCCCATCACATTCAAATATCATTTAAATAGTAAAGTATTTATAAGAAATCATCAAACGAAATAATATGAAATATAATAAAATAAATTGAAATCAATTTATTTTCATGTCATTCGAGGTTGACTCATCGCAAGTCTTCCTCATGTCATATAGAGTAAGTAAATTGCACTCACCTTTGCCTCACTTAAGAACTTGTATACGATAATACTAGTCACAAGCTTTGTCATTTCCTTTCAGATTGTTCGGATTGCTAGTTTTATTGAAATCTGACAATACGAAATTATAGCACAAAATGTTTAAACTACATATTAGTATCGTTCTAACATAAGCTCATTTTTGACATTTGAGAATCTATAAAATAAAATCGATAACTAAATCGATATCAACCTAAATCATAACTCCATTATAACTTCAAACCACATATTTTGAATTCTTTCTAAAATTCAACTCAACTTTTCCTTTAATTCATAATGGTCTTTCGCCATTATGATAATTTTACATTAATTACTAAAATTCCAGAACTTGAATAAAATACCCAAATAATACTTCTTCATTTAAGAACTTGTAAACAAGTCTCCAAAGTTTTGGAACCTTTCGAATTCCACCATCTAACCATTAAAATGAATTCTTTTAGAATTCTTCTCAACATTTCCAATTTATTCAAAATGATCTCTTGCCATTTAACTTCAATTCCAAGCATCCAAAAATATACTCAACATTTAAACATTATTCTTCATCTTCTAATCCATTTCAACTTAAATTCTACAAATTTCCATATTCATACAACTTGTGCTATCTTTAAAGAATCAATATTCTGTATTGATGTACACACTGGAATTTGATTCCATTTCTTTCATTGAAAACTAGACTAGAATATGAATCTATCCATATAAGGAACTCTTTCTAATTCAATCTGTACAATTTATGGTGAATTTTTAAAGTTGACTGACAGAATCTGTTTTGTGCAGAATCTGCTGCCCGTTTTTATAACATTTCCTCGGTTAAAAATTCATATCTTGTTTTATACACCTTGAAACTGATCCCCGTTTGTTTTAAACAAAACTAGATTGATATACGAACACAATATATAAAAATAACCTTCTAATAATTTTCATAGAATTTCTGGTGAATTTTCAAACTCACTGCCAAATTCAAAATCTAAACTGTTTTCATTAACTTCATCCTTAAATTATTCATTAATCCTTACAACCAACTCATTAAAATCACTTAACTCTTCATAATCCCTAAAACACAAGAAATCAACATCCCCTTCATCAACTCAAGATAAATTTAAACCTAAACCATAACAATATTTATGTCAAATGAAAGAGAATTTCATGTAGGTTATTTATCCTTAATAACCTAACATAAAATTCTAGTAAAAATAGACCAAAAATAAAACTAGAGTTCTTACCTTTTTGAGCTTAAAGTTTCGGTCACTCTGGAGAAGAAGAAGCTGAGCTTTTCTCTTTTCTTCAATTTACTAAACATCATCCCTTATTACACTTGTCACTACATAATAAAATGAATTTAAAATTCATTTAATCCACTTTACCATTTTATCCCTAATAAAACTTAATAATTTCATCAATGGCACTTATGGCATCATCACTTACCTCATAAAATTCAGAAAATATCTAAATTCTAATTTTTCATGTTTGTCCTTGTAATTTTTGAAATTTGCAATTTAGTCACCCAATTCTAAAATTTTGGCTTAACATGGAAAATCGACCTTAATTCCATTAATCCATGTTAAATTTCACTTTTCTAAAATATATAAATAATATTTCCAACCTTTATCTAGCATCCTTCATCTTTTGTGAAATTTTGATTCGATCTAATTATCCGATTTAATACCGAACTTTACCACTTTATAGCCTTTAACACAAATCTCGTACCGAAAATATGATTCCCACTAAAATCATTGTTTTCGGCCAAACTGTTCATTTACGGGCTAAAATATATAACTTTTAAAAATTACAAATTTCAGTCCCTACACTTTTCAAAGTTTATACTTTAGCCACTAAACTTTCAAAACTTACATTTTAGTCACTGGTTAAATTTTTGGGGTATTACAATTCCTCCCCCCTTAAATAAAATTCGTCCTCGAATTTTCCATATGTATTTACATACCTGAATTAAATAGATGAGGAAACTTTTTCTTAATGTCTTCTTCTCGTTCACAAGTTGATTCCTCAACTTTATGGTTTCGCCAAAGTACTTTTACTAATGGAATCGTCTTATTTCTTAGTTATTTGACTTCATGTGCTAAAATCTTTACTGGCTCCTCTTCGTATGATAAATCTGGCTGAATCTCAATTTCCTCCCGTGTAACTACATGTGAAGGATCTGATCGATATCTTCGAAGCATTGATACATGAAATACATTATGAATCTTGTCCATCTCTGGAGGTAACGCCAACTGATAAGCTACTGGTCCAACTCTCTTTACAATCTCGTATGGTCCGATAAATCTTGGACTCAATTTCCCTTTTCGTCCAAATCTTAGAATCTTTTTCCAATGTGACACCTTAAGAAATACCTTATTACCCACTTGATATTCAATCTCTTTTCTTTTTAAATCAGCATAAGATTTCTGTCTATCAGCTGCTATCTTGAGATTGTCTTGGATTACTTTCACTTTGTCTTCCATCTCCTTAATTAGATCTGGACCAACTACATCTCGATCTTTTAATTCGTACCAATTCAGTGGTGTTCGACATTTTCTTCCATACAACGCTTCAAAAGGAGCCATTTTGATACTTGATTGATAACTGTTATTATAAGAAAACTCTGCTAAAGGTAAATACTTTTCCCACGATCCTTTAAAATCAATAACACACGCCCTTAGCATATCTTCAAGTATCTGAATAGTTCTTTCAGATTGACCATCTGTCTGAGGATGATAAGATGTGTTAAAATTTAGTCTGGTTCCCAATGCCTCATGCAAGGACTTCCAAAATCTCGAAGTGAATCTCGGATCTCTATCGGAAACTATCGAAATGGGTACTCAATGAAGTCGTACTATTTCTCTGATATATAACTCATCATACTTGTTCATAGAATAATCTTCTCGAACTGGGATAAAGTGTGATGTCTTTGTCAATCTATCCACTGTCACCCAGATCGAATCTTTCTTACTAGGTGTCAAAGGTAAACCTGTCACAAAATCCATGGTAACTCGTTCCCATTTCCATTGAGGAATTGAGATAGGTTGCAACAACCCCGAAGGTACTTGGTGTTCTACTTTTACCTGTTGACAGGTTAGACATTTAAAAACAAACTCAGTGATAGCTCTTTTCACACCTGCCCACCAATACCGACTCTTTAAATCTTGATAAATTTTGTTTCCTCCTGGATGCATAGTCAAAGGACTATAATGAGCTTCAGAAAGAAGATCTTTCTTCAGTTCTTCATCATCGGGTATGCAAATTCGATTCCGATAATACAAACATCCATCAGACTTAATTTCAAAATCTATCATTTCTCATTTCTTTGCTTGCTTCATTCTATCTAAACACTTCTTATCTTTATTCTGAAGATCCTTGATACGATCCAATAGGGTGGGTCTCAATCTTAATTCTGCAATCAATGCACCATCATCTTCCATTGATAGTCGTGCATCTAACGCTCTCATAGCAGCAAAGGTTTTTCGGCTAAGTGCGTCAGCTACCACATTAGCCTTCCCATGATGATAATCAATAATCACATCATAGTCTTTGAGAAGCTCAATCAATCTTCTTTGTCTTAAATTTAACTCTTTCTGAGTGAGCAAATATTTTAAACTCTTATGATCTGTATAAATATAACATCGCTCACCATATAAATAGTGGCGCCATATTTTTAGAGCAAACACTACAGCTGCTAGCTCCAAATCATGTGTCGGATAATTCCGTTCATGCGTCTTTAACTGCCTTGAAGCATAGGCTACTACTTTACCTTCTTGCATTAAAACACATCCCAAACCATTATGAGATGCATCACTGTAGATTACATAATCTTTTCCTGACTCTGGTTGTACTAATACCGGTGCCTCAATCAGAATCTTTTTATGCTTCTCAAAAGCTTCTTGACACTTTTCATTCCAGACGAATGGTACATCCTTTCGAAGTAGTTTGGTAAGTGGAGATGCAATTATTGAAAAATTCTTCACAAATCTCCGATAATATCCAGCTAACCCCAAGAAACTTCGGACTTCAGAAATATTTTTCGGAGGTTTCCACTCTACTACCGCTTGTACTTTCTTAGGATCTACTCTAATTCCTTCTGTTGAAATCACGTGACCCAGAAAGGCGACCTCTGACAGCCAAAATTCACATTTTAATAATTTAGCATATAACTTTTTATCTCGTAATGTCTGAAGTACGATGCGAAGATGTGTGTCGTGCTCTTCTATAGTCTTAGAATACACCAAAATATCATCAATGAACACAACCACAAATTGATCCAAATACGACTGAAAGACTCGATTCATCAAATCCATAAATGCTGCTAAAGCATTAGTTAGTCCAAACGGCATCACAACAAACTCATAATGACCATATCGAGTTATGAAAGCCGCCTTTGGAATATCTTCCTCTTTTATCTTTAGCTGATGATACTCTGATCGAAGATCAATTTTCGAAAATACTGAAGCACCCTTGAGCTGATCAAACAGATCATCGATCCTTGGAAAATGGTATTTATTCTTCACCGTCACCTTATTCAGTTTACGATAATCTATACATAATCGTATCGAGCCATCTTTCTTTTTAACAAAAAGTACTGGTGCACCCCAAGGAGATACACTCGATCTAATAAAACCTAAATCTAATATCTCCTGTAATTGCACCTTTAGTTCTCTGAGTTCCGTTGGAGCCATCCTATATGGAGCCATTGAAATGGGATATGTACTCGGAAAAACTTCAATTTTAAACTCCACTTCTCGATCAGGATGTAATCCGGGTAAATTATCAGGAAATACATCTAAAAATTCTCGAACTGTCGGAATATTCTCTAATCGAATTTCAGATGTTCGGGTATCAAGCACATTTGCTAAGAAAGTTGTGAAACCTTTTTCCATCATTTTCATTGCCGTAAAGGCTGATATTACATTAGGCAAAGACCCTGCTTTTTCTCCAATTACTATTATCTCGGTACCCTCTGCATCCTTTATAAATAATCACTTCATGCGATAATCTACCCAACCATAATATCGAGATAACCAATCCATGCCCAATATAATCTCAAACTCATCAAACGGTAACTCCAAAAGATTCGCAGGGAATATAACCCCTTGAATCTTTAGCGGACAATTTCTGCTAATCCTTGTGACTCTAGCACTATGACCCAGTGGATTTATAGCTATCATATCACTATTGATGGGTTCTAACGGAATATTCTTATTTTTAACTAATTCCAAACTAACATAGGAACGCGTAGAACCCGGATCAATCAAAACAAATACAGGCTCATCATAAAGATAGAAAATACCTGCTATGATCTCTGGGTTGTCACGATCATCATTAGTCTTGATGTTATAAATTCTTGTTGGAGCACGAACGTCAGACTGGGAGGCTGTCTCAGAATATCCCATCCAAACTTTCATCATCGGAACAGTGAAGATTGTCCAATATTATTTTCACATCATTCAACCACATATCTGCTTCTACTGGGCCTTCGTTTGCTTCGCCTTTAAATTCTACAACTCCTAAGCTTTTTAATTCTTTCGTAACCGATATTCTCGAAACTAGAGGAAGATGTGGAGGCGGAGGAAGAGGAGGTGTTGCTGCCGGCTGATATCGAGCCAATATAGCCTCTAGAACTTGTAAGAAAGTTCCCTGATCTGGAGTGGGTACTCCTTGATGTACATGCTCTCCATGACATTGAGGTACATGCTCTACTTCGTTACTACTCCCACTACCAGTTCCCTCGGGAACTTCTTGTTCGGTGGCCTGTCTTATGCCTTCCGAACCCGACATCTAAACAAAAGTACAAATTTAAGTTAGTAAGGAGCAGCATCATAAATAAAATCATCATACCATACCATATCAGTAATTTCGACATCCTAGTGGCATATGCATATTTTCGACATATTATAGGCTCGGTTTAGGCCGAGAAGCGACTAAATCTGTAGCTCTGATACCAATAAATGTAATATCCTTAACCCGTATATGTCTCGATATACGAGTTAAAGATGTCATATCAAACTGAAAACATTTACTGAACTAAAATTTCCGTAAAAATTTGTTTCTTTGAAAATACTCTTGTTCTAACTTTAAAAAAATCTATTTTAAAGTATATTTCAAATTATAATTTATTTTTTTATTACAGGAAATAAAATCATTATTTATTCAGTAATTTTATTAAACCATATCTTTTCGTAAAACCTTTTAAAAACATAATAATGTAATAAATTCTTGTCATGCATAGTTACCAATAAAACTAAACTAAGTAAAATAAACTAAAATAGTTCTAGTTTACTATTACAATTTATTTAAAATAAATACGATAATTA